TTAGTGGCTCTTAAATGTTAATTTGTAGCAGGTGTTCAGCTGCTTGCCTGAATTACCAAGGATAGGAGTGGGGTGGTGGTGGTGCTGGTATGATTACCATAGACTTCCAGGGCCATCCCTGGAAATTCTGGTTTGGTGGACCTGGGGTAGACCCAGTAGTTTGTATTTTGAACAAGCAGTTCTCCGTAATAAAGATTTAGCTCAGAACTGCTCAAAGTTTAGATGCATAAGAGTCATGGAGGAACCCATTGAAAATGCAGACTCTCCCTTATTTTTACAATGTCATTACAAGGGTCAAAGTTTCCTCTCCCCAAAAATAATGTTGCTCTTTCCCGTAGTCACTATCTGACCTTGATTCCCTGCCTCAACACTACCCCCTGTTCTTTTTTGCTTGGTGTATATTACTCAGTTCTCACGTCTTTTTTTTCCTGTCCACACTGGGACCCAAGTAGTCTGAGTTTAATATTCTAAAAGTTCCTCTGGCTGCTTACGTTGCCTTTCTGCCCTGATATAAGTGCATTGAATATCACAAAGGATGCTTAACCAAGTGGAACAAAATGGGATGTTTGTGCTTGGAGAGAGAGCTCCACACAGACTGCAGCTTCTAAAGCAGGAAATTAAAAACTTGAGAGGGAATCAGAGATAGAACTATTTGTTGTGGCACAGAAAAGAGTTTTTGAGCAAGTGCTGCAAACTGGATGAAAGAGACAGCCAGGACTCAGCCCACTGAAATAGAACCTACTCTGAGATCACCTGCATGATTTCTATCTTAAACTTGCTGCTAGGCTCGAGGACAAAGAAAACTGAAGAAGGTCAGTGACTAGCCCCTGCTAGTCCCCCAGCCCAAGCCAGGCTCCTGTGTGCCTTTAATGATGAGGATGGTACTGTGAAAGCCACTGTGTTGTGTCTGTGCTGCCATCCTCTGCCTTTGTTCCAATAGTCCTTGGAGTCCTCTGTGAAACTCTGAAATTCCTGAGCAAGTCTTTGGTGTGCACCATGGAAGGAACATATCATCTCTGCTAAACCAACTCTTTCATCCAATGATTAGTTCAGAGAAAATCATGTGCCAGAAGCCAATCCAATCAAGTACATCTTAACATTTCTAGTAAAAATTCTGGGACACAGATTTTCTATCTTGGTGTGAACGGTGGGGTGGACACATGTGAGGCCTATAGTTTAGACTATGCCATGGGTAAGGCTAATTCCTAGAATAGAGCTGGGAGAATTGTGGAGAAATGGAGCTGGAGGCTGGTTCCAACGGTGCCTGCAGCCCACCCTACCACGGGACTTTTAAAGGTCCTGGTGTGAAAGAAAAATGCATTCTGTTTGTTGCTTAAGTCGATTGGAATTTAGTTTTCTTTTACTTACTACTAAAAGTGTCTTAACTGAGATATTTATAGTTCACACCTTTTAGTTATCAAAGTACTTTCTCAACTGATGACAGTTGAGCCTGACATCAAGCCCATGAGAAAGGAAAAGTATACTTGTCACCTCCATTTTAATTCCTTCGATTCCAGGTCTTCTGACTTCCAGTTCTGAGTCTTTCTCATAGCATAACCCTGTGCAGGAATGACATTCATCCCAGTGAATTCCAGAAACACAGTGCTCTGTGACATTTTGTTTGCCCATCTCACAGTAATTCTTCCTCATACCACATCCTCTTTTTAAATAAAACCCACATTTTCACTTTCTTTTCTCTCCTCCCATGTATCCTTCCCTTATGATCCAGTTTTTGTTAATTAAACTTAAGTGAAGTCCCTTAGTAGAAACTTTGAGGCATTCCAGGGAAAGGGCTATCTCTTTCCCTCTCTTTCTTTCTTTCCCTGCTGTCCCCACCTATCCTATTTTTGAACACGGCCATGATGCTGAGGGCCATGGCAGCCATCCTTCGAGCAGCATGAGGAAGTAAGCCAGCTTGTCAAGGATGGAAGAGATTGGTCCTTGATGACACCATGGGGCAGCTGAATTGACACCAAAAATCCCCTTCCTCCAGAATTCTTGTCGTGTGAGAAAAGTAATTCCTCTTTGTTTAAGCCACAGTGAGTAAGGTTTTTCAACATTTACAGCATACACACTGGTGCCTGGTAAAATTAGGCCGTTTTCCTTCAAAGGAAGGAATCTGGCCAGTATGAGCCAATATTTCCTTCAAAGAAGATAGATGTATTCAAATCAAAGCACAGGAAGCTGTGAATTTGGCAGCTAATTTGGCCACTACATTGTGTTCCTCTCATTCCTGTGCTGTCCTCTTGGACAAACATTTTGTGCTTGTCCCCAAGCCTATAGCAGTCTCTGTACTGTGGTCAACACTGCATCCTTTCCTCTTTCCAAGGGAGTCCTTAGGTATAATCATGTAATTACTAGACCAGTTACTCAAACTGTACCACAATTAGCACAAGTTAGTATGATTAATGCTTTGCTCTTCTCTGAGATGCATGGACTTATATATTCACAGTCCTTTTAAGGGCCCAAGGTACTCTTTTCTCTCTTTGAGATACCCTGTCTGCTTCTGAGGTCCACAGAAATCAGGCAGGTATTTAAGATGAAGAAAATTATATACTGTGATGGGTTAGGGAGACCTGGTCCTTTGGAATAGAACTTTCTAATATCTTAACTTGTTGTCTGTTAATTATGGCTGCTTTAAGTCATGTTCTTTTATTGAGAGAGACCCTTAGAGGACTGTTGGTGAGAGTGGTACTGAAATATTAAGTTGCATTGACAAGAGCTTTAAAGCAAGTAGGGAAGACCAAAAAGAGGTCCAAAGCCCATTTCCCAGTGGAGAGATGTCTCCCAAATCTTCTTTATATGATTGCACACTTGTTTGACCATGCTCTTGATTGCTGAAAACTTGCACCAAATAACCTGTTGGACATAATGTGTACTGATTTTTATGAGAGGGAGCCAAGGGGAGAGCTCATAGATCCAACCTGCAGAGAGTCCAGTAAGCCTTTGGCAAGATTTCATGCCGGCTCTCTGTGCGATCGGTTGCTCTTCTATGCTCAGCAGAAGGGGGATGTCATCAATTTTGGCAGGTGTGGCTGACAAGGGATGCCATGTGTGTCTAGCGTGGAACAATCACAATGTCAATATCCTACACCAGTATCTACAGAGATTTTCCAAAATGGTCTATCCAGAGTCCTGGAAGCAACCCCAAATGGACAGTTGAAGAGGGATCTTGGGAGGCTTTGTTATAGATACCCGAAGACTGGCTTTATTTCAGAGGCAATTAATTTAATATGTTTATTAGGGTGGAGGTCCTCATCCTGTATTTCTTTCTGACATGCAGGCTTCTGAAAGACCTAAGAATCCTAGTAATGTATAGGGGTGGACAGAAATACTTTGAGGTATGGGATGGTGATGTTATGAATCATTAACTAATCCATTCTGGTTGGTAGCACTTTAAATCTGCCTACTCTTGAGCAGAAATCTCACATGTGTCTAACTTCTTTTCAGTCTCATTATTATTGAATGTAAAAAAAAAAACAGCTCATTGAAACAATAGATACGGCTGCAGACGGTATAAGCAGGAATTGCCCATCTAATGCATACATTATAGAAAAGATTCATTTAATCATTCATACAGCAAATATTTATTTAGCACATATTATGTGCCAGGTAGTGTGTTTGGACTACAGGGGAGAGAAAAAAAGAACAAAGACATAGCTTCTGACTTCAAGGTTGTCTCAGTTAGTTTGGGTTGATGGAAAAGTCAAGATAATTACAAGATCTTTTGCCATCAGAATTATCTTAATTGGGAAAAATTATTGTTTGTTTTTTTTCCCCTCCAACTCTTCCCTTAGCCTATACATCTATCCCAATCAGCCTAGATGTTTTTCTGCTTTTCCTTTCCTTTTCTATTTTCTTGGTTTCTTTCCTTTATGTTTCCCCTTTGAGATCATAAGTCTAATTTTAGTTCCCAGTCATTCTTTAATAGGGATACCAGCCTAGGCAGTCTATGTTTGAGGTTTTTGCTCTCCTGTGATATGTCATACTTAATTAACTGTCACCTTCACTATTAATATTAACTGAGATATTAATTTGATGAATTTTAATTTCTCTTAATCATAGCATCATTTTGATCCTTCATTGGATACCTCTTTAAAATGATACATGATACACAGTGCAGGAGAGACATATTAATAGTACATTAAAGTGTTTTTAAAAAGCTCTTTAGTAATTGCATGTTTTCCTGGTAAGACTATCTGTTTCTTGAATAGGTGTAGGCACCCTGATTCCTTTGTTAGCAAATGGATGTTTTGTCTTGATCACCTCCTGACTCTGTTTTGCACTCTCAAATGAAAATACTTTCAAATTTAAGAAATGTTTCTCTCCAGAAGAATTCTCCAGGGTCTGCTGCATTATCTGACTGGCGAGGGCTCTGTACTATTAATGGAGGCATCAAAAATATAAATGTGAAGGTTTGGTCTGTTTGGTAGCAGAATCTGTAGAGAGCTGGTACCCAGGAGGAAAGAACTGAGTGCAAGGGTAACTAAACAATCAAAAGAAGTCTGATCTATTTGCAGACTGTTTTTTCTCTTTTCCACTTAGTCATTAAATTTTTTTTTGTTTTTCTATTATTCCTTCTGCATCTCCCTCCCTCCTCACTGTTGTCCTGCATCCTTCCAGCACAACCCTACCCCTCTGTATACATTAAAACACTGTTGAAGCTGCCCACAGACTGCCTCCCTCGAACCCCCCCCCCCCACATCTTTGAGACGTGACTGGCACTGAGATTAAACCTGATGCATTTTAGGATGTGTTGCATCACTCAAGTCCAGTCACCTGGATGCTGGAGACCCAGGAGCACAATCATTCCTGGCTCCTTCATTCTGATGTGGGCATGTCATGTCGGATAATGGGATAAAGGGAGAGTGACGGGACCTCTCCTTCCTTCCTAGTCTCAGGATCGTGGCAGGGAACATTTTGAGCCCAGAGGCCGGGAACACAGGGAAGACAAAGACCAGGACAGTCACACAGGCAGCCCGCAGGTGGGGCTCACTCACCTCCAGGTACACCACCCAGGGCATCACCAAGGTGGCCACCAGCAGGTCAGCCACAGCCAAGCTCACCACCAGGTAGTTGGTGGTGGTCTGCAAGGCCCGTTCCTTCAGCACTGCCACACACACCAGACCGTTGCCGAAGATGATGGCCAGGATCAGCGCGCAGTAGGAGAGTGCGTAGTAGGTGTGCGGGCGGGCCCGGCTGGCCCCTGTGGAGTTCTCTGCCCCACAGGTGGAGTTGATCTGTCTGCTCAACTGGCTCAGAGGCGCCATAGCCCAGAGGGAGAATAGTGATCCCCGTGGGTTTCCTGGGAGGAGACAGAAAACAATGTTGGCAAAACTGGACTCCTTGGAGCTTGGCTGCTTGGGTACATTTTTATGGATTGCTTCAACAAATATTTATCAAGCACCTCCTATATGCTTGGTACTGTTCTAAGCACTGAAAATACAACAATGAACAAAAGGGAAGATATTCCTGCCCTCATGTTGGGGCCCACTGGGGGAGGAGAATACAGCAAGAAATAAGATAAAGGATGTAGTATGGAGGAGAATACAGTAAGGAATGAGTTAAATAAAGAATGTATATGTTCGATCATGAGATGCATTTTGGAGAATGATGAATCAGAGGAGGAGGTAAGGAGATGGGGAGGATTACGTGTGTGTGCATAGGCTATCTGAGGGCAATTTTTAACCAGGATAATCAGGAAGCCCTTGTGAAGAAGGCGACACCTGAGTCAAGACCTGGAGGACACGAGGAAGACAACCACGCAGATATCTGCAGGAAGAGTGGTCCAAGCAGAAGGGTCCAAGCAGATACAAAGGCAGGACAAGGTGGTGTGTGGAAGGCAGCAGGCAGTCCAGAGGGGCTGGAGCCCAGTGAGGCAGGTACAGAGTGGAAGGGTGTGAGATCAAGAGGCTGTGCAGGGCACTGAAAGAGCTGTGCTTGGACTGTGAATATGTAGAGCTGTTGCGGGATCAGAATCCCAGCTCTGCCACTTCCTACTGCTGGACGTTGGGTGTGTTACTGCACCTCTCCTCTCTGAGCTTCATTTTCCTCCTCGGCAAAGTGGAGGAAACAATGGAATCCACCCCATAGGGTTTTTGTGAGGATTAATTGAGCTATTAAATATGTAAAGCATTGAAAGCTATGATACCTAGAAAGCTATATAAGTGTGAGCTCTTTTTTTCATACTGGACGGTTTCTTTTCGCTTCCCATTCCCCTTTCCTTGTTTTCTCTCCACCCTCTTCTGTTGCCCCATCTGCCTTTCCCCCTGCCTCCCTCTGTCTCTTCCTTTAGTTTCTCATCTCTCTCTTGCATCTTGCTTGGGGCATGGTGGGTGTGGGATGCCGGCTTATGGGAGAAGAACTCAAGAGTAATGGAGTATAGAGACAGTGTAGTGGTTTTTATACTTAAGGAAAAATTCATGTGTGGAATTTTGTTTGAAACTTCCTAATTTCGAAAGACTGGTTGCCAATTAAAAAAATGTTTAAACTCTATGAAGTCCCTTCTCACCCCCCACCCACAAAATTTTACATCCATGGGCCAAGGGCCCATAAGCATAAATTTTCAACTTCTGAGCCCTCACTTTTCAAACAGGGAAATAAGACCCAAAGAGATTAACAACATGTCTTAAGTCATAAAGCTTATTAGTGGCAGAACTGCATGCAGGCCTCTGATTCTTCCAAAACTCCCCGTTGGCATCTGCGAGCTGTAAAAACTGTCGTGTCCCCATCCCATTGGGAAGAATGAATCCTTGAACTTGGGGACTTTGGGCTTAGGGTGGGAAAGGCATCAGAGCCCCTCAGCTGCCCCTGTGACACCAGCATTTTGGGGCCAGTCCTGAAGAAGGGACTCTGGGCTCTCACAGCCAGGTTTTTGTGTATCCAGGAGAAGTGGGGGTGGGGAGGGAATGTGACAAAAATCACCGTGTCTTGTAGAAAAATATGGAAATGCCTATGCATTAAAGCCTTGTGTGCTGGAAGAGGGACTCCTGCCGTGGGATCTGTGCTTTAGACGGTCCCACTTTGGACCGTCTCTGTCATATCCTCTCTATGGGATGAGGTCATGCCCTCCCACAATGCCAAGGAGCACATCCAACAAGAGTCCACTCTCTCATTCTAAACCACATTCTGGGCACCAAGATCACAGAATTCTCTGCCCAAACTTCATGGAGCCTGTTTCCCAAGCCCTATTCTGGATTTGTCAACCTGAGTGTGTGCCATGGATATTTGGGACCCCTGAGCTCAAGGGGTGGCTCTTTGGGGGAGCTCAGATGAGAAGCTTGGGTACAGCCTGAAGTGGGGAGAGAAGAGGATGGAGTCCCTGGAGCAGGATTTGGGGTGGAAAGCAGCTTCTCCTGCCCTCTCACATTTTGTTTTGAACTCTTAGGGACCAGGAATCCTAAATTTAAACCTGGCCTTCCAGATGGTTACAGAGGTATATTTTTCAAGGCAGGAGTATTAAACATCTTATTCACTGCTTTGTGGATTACAACTAAAATACTTAGAAATGGAGTATATGCGCCTCCATGGGAACACTCGCTCCAGGCAGAGGTAGAGGCTGGCTTGGTGGCCAGGCTTTGCTCTCAATCCTGGTATCTGCAGCTCCCCGTCAATGAGGGAAGTGGCCTAATCATGATTGTCATTTTGTGTCTCATTTTGAAATGTTTCATCCTGGAATGTGTAAGTGTGAAAATGAACAAATGATTGTAAGGGGCCGACTTGGAATGAATTCAGAGAATTATTTTAAAAGAAAATTGTTCTTTATCTTGGCACACTGTTTGTACTCAATAAAATTTAAAACATAATAATAGTTTCTGATAATAATTATAATTTTCTCATTATTTGGAAAGGGCAGCTGCTACCCTAGAGATAGGAAAGCTGCTTCCAAGAGCTTTTTGAAAAATACAATGCTTTCTGATTATTGATGGATATTTCTACCTTTGAGGCCAGCTCAGACCCAGAACACCTTTCCTCCTGCAGCGGGACCAGTTGGGAAAACAGTGGCCAGAAATCAGTCTTCCATGGGATCTGTAGTTGGCCTCTGATGTCTTAGCCTGATCTCACCTGACAGGTAAGCTGGAAGCACAAAACCTTGGGATATTTGTTACCATCTTGGACTTTTTACCCTGTTGAGGTTTGACAGCTACTTAAAAATAGTGCAGCTGAGTGTCAATGGCTAATTAAACGAAAGGAAACCCTCAACTCTGAAAATCAATCGGGAGCCTGATGTTGGAATCATAATTGCATGGATTTCTGATTTATTATTGTTTTTGCATTGTACCGTCTCTGGTCTTAGGTTCTGTGTAGTAGCAGGTGGGTGTAGCCTTGGTTGTCCAGGCAGTTCCTAATGAGTTGATGTGGGAGATGGAAGCAGTAAGTGAGTGAGAGCCTGGATTACTCCCCGCCTCTCAGCTAATTGTTTCAACTCTCTCCCTCCTTAGAGCTTTCTTTCATCTTTTTTTTTTTTTTCCCTTTAAACCAGTATTGCTTATATAACACAGAGCTGGGTTGGGATTTTTCCTTTCTTTTTTCCTCTGATAAATATATTACCAGATATCAAACTGGTTTCTGTTAGGGAAAAGCAGGAAGCCTGGAGAATTTGTTAACTTAACCACTCTTTAAGTAATTCATACTGATAACCTGGTCTCCTCATCAGCAAAATGTGGACATCATACCCACTCCATGGGGTTATTGCGAAGATCAAATAATATTATATATGTCAAGTCCTGGCACTGCTGGCAGCTGGGGCTGGATAATTCTTTTTGGAAGTGGGCATTGCAGGATGTTTAGCAACACTCCCCTTCACCCAGGTTGTGACAACCAAAAATGTCTCCAGACACTGTCAAATATCCCTTGTGGGACAGAATTATTCTCTCAATTGAGAATCATGGCTCTAGCATAATGTCTAACACAAGCACTTGAAGTACTGTGGCTTTTATTATTAAAGGGGAAGTGGGAATAAGTGAAGGGGTCAAGTAAGCTCCAATTGTAGAGTGGCTAATGGACTTGGAAATTAAGAGATTACTGGTGACCTCAGCAAAGAGTGTTAGTAGTTAAGAATGGATGAGCAGTGAGAAAATGGAGAAGGCAAGGACTAGAAGATTATGGCTGGTCTTACTCTTTTAAGATTCATTATATATAACACTACTCACAAATTTTAATAAACCTTTCAACTTCTTACAAAGTATTGATTTACCTTGGTCTTTATAGTTTATTCTAGCATCTCTGAAAGTGAGTGCATAATTTATTTTAAAGAGTAGAGGGACAGAGAGTAGTCAGGCCCCCATCAGCTAGGACATACATCCTGCTTTACTGATATTCCCTCAGTGCTGTGCTACATTCTGCCTAGAACGTTTGTGGGGTGTCTCCTTGGCACTTGGTTGCATACCAGGCATGTTAGGAAGATACTCATTAAGGTTTACCAGGTCTTAATTATTTGTTCCCTTTCCTTAAGAATACTGAATTGGGCAAAAACCAAAAAAAATAAAAAATAAAAACAAAAACACTTGAGTTCTCAATTTCCTTCTGAAGACAGTAGTCACCATCTCTTCTGTTTACTACCATGTAGTGGGTACCTGGACTTTATCTCATTTTAATATTTATAGTAGCCCTGAAGGTGGATATTAATATCTCCTTTTTATAGACTAAAAAGCTGAGTCTAAATTTTCTTAAGATTATATCATATGTAGGGAGCTGTATTGAGCCTAGCTTTGATCTTGGGTCTCCTTAAATATCAAACTCACAACTTATTTAATGTGTCTGTGGACATTGATGTATGGAGACATTTCCAGTTAGAGCTGGTTTTTCCTAAACTCAGAACACAACACCTTAAAAACAGGGTTCTGTGACCAGATCTTCACTTGCATCAGATCCCTGTCTTCTGCCCTCAGTTACATCCTGACCTCTAGTCTGCAAAGCTTTTCTGGTTCTGGGCTTCAATGCAGACTTTCTATATTGGCTGAAAAAGTTAATAATTATAGCTAAAATTTATAATCATTATCATAGTTAAGCCTCGCAGCAGCCTGATAGAGAAAGTAGGTCCTATTATTACCCCCATTTTGCAGGTGAAGAAAGTAGGTAATAGAAAGGTTAATTATCTTGCTGGGGTCATACAACAATAAATGATGGAGCTCATTCAACTCTATCTGTTTCTAGACCTTACATTTTTAACTACTCCACTATTGGGGTGAGGGTGACAAACTTGAAATGGAGACACATTTTAAAACCTTGCTTTTTCAGAGCACCTGACCAAACCCTGTGAGAAGTCAAA